CAAGGCCACACCTACTCCAACAAGGCCACACCTACTCCAACAAGGCCACACCTACTCCAACAAGGCCAACTCCCTCCAACAAGGCCTCACCTACTCCAACAAGGCCACACCTACTCCAACAAGGCCACACCTACTCCAACAAGGCCTCACCTACTCCAACAAGGCCACACCTACTCCAGCAAGGCCACACCTACTCCAGCAAGGCGCATCTCCTAATAGTTCCACTCCCTCTGGGCCTATGAGGGCCATCTTCATTCAGGCCTGCACAGATGGAGAGGTCAAACTGGCTTTAGCAGGCAGGTCAGAATAGAGAGCTGAAGTAGACAATGGCCCTGTAGGCTCCCACTGGGGAAGCTGTTTTCAATCTCAGACTTCTTTTTTTTTTGACATTTTCCTTTTGCCTTCAGAAGGCCTTGGGTTGCAGATTACAAAGCAGACTTCTTTGGACCAGCTGCACCAGAGAGGAATGGTCCGCCTTCCTCCGAAGTCGTACAGTTTTCTCTCTGGGTGTGTTTGACCAGGGCTCCACTCTGGCACTCAGAACTTTGTGCTTGGGCAGCTTCTGGAGTCCTTGAGCACTGACTTCAGGTTCACACTTGCGTTGTCTTGGGGATGGAAAGAGACTGCAGCTGTGTGCTGGTCAGGGCACTGCTTTACTGCTGTGGGGTTCACCGTGTGGCTTGGGTTGTGCTGGGGTGTGGCACACACTGCAGACATCTTCATTGCCTCCCCTGGTTGTGTCAGCTTCTTGAGAGCGCCTCGCCAGAGTGCCTGAGTGTTGCTAGGAGACAGGAAGTGTGCAGCGGCTGGGCTTCTTCTGTGGTCGTGATAACAATGAGGGATGGAGCGTGTGTGCGTGCGCATGTGTGTGGCATAGTGTGCGTGCATGGCAGGGTGCACAGCCTTTCTTCTTTTTTTTTAAACTTAGTCACACATTGGTGTGGCTTTACCACAGGACTGTGGATGTCCTTGCCTTTCTGTTGAAAAGGAACGTGTGCAGTCTGTCCAGGAACAATTAGCTGTTCTTACGTAGAATGCGACAAGTCGTCGTCCTCATCCATGTGGTGCTTGTGGAGAATCCAGCTGGAGTGTCCCTTTTCTGTCTGTCGTCATGAGTTCTGTTCCCCCCGGCATTTCTTTAACCCCCTGGGCCCACACTTGAGAGCTGCTGTGTTCACTCTTCTCGTGGCAGGCCTCCATGTGTGGAGCATGTGTGGCGGGGTGGAACCAGTGCTCATCTCGAGGTGCCCACCTGGTAGCACGTGCCCGTTGCAGGCCTTGCCCAGGTGCCTGTTCCTCACCACGGATCGTGTTCTGGTCCCTCTAGCCGTTGGTGTTGGGAGAGCGCCTAGGAAGGGAGGGGCACCCACCGTCTTGGCTGTTCTCCGCATGTGTGGCTACCACGTACCAGGAAGAGGGATTCAGGGTTTGTACTTGTGTTGCTGAGAAAAGTCATTGCCCGCCTTGATCTGGTTAAGGTCCTATTTTCAAAACTCTGTATCTGAATACTAGTTTACAGAGATGCCGAAACAAAAACCGGGCGTGTGACGTCGGTGTGGCGTGGGGAGCCTTACCTGGCTGTCTTTCTAGAGACGCAGTGGGACAGAAATGAGGAGGAGCCCTTCAGTAAGAAGTGGTGCTCGTCAGTTTCATGTGAGCCTGGTGTGTGTGTGTGTGTGTGTGTGTGTGTGTGTGTGTGTGTGTGTGTGTGTGTGAAAGTGCAGGCCTGTGCTTGCTATAGTGCATGAGTGGAAGTCAGAGGACACCTGAAAGTTGGTTCTCCCTTGCCACTCTGGGATTTAGGATTGAACGAAGGTGATCAGGATTATGGACAAGCTCTTTCACCCCTACCCCACCCCACCCCCACCCCAGCCATTTTGCTGGCCCAGGCATGACACTTTCTTTTTACGTACTCATGAATATTTTCTGTGCTGGTGTTTGGTAAATGAGCACTGAGGCCTAGTATACTTAGAATTGCCCGAGTAAAGGTTTCTCAATGCCTGTCTTAGGGAGCTTCAGGTTAGTTGGGTGCTTCATCCAGCCCCTCCTAGCCACTAAGCCTGCCCCCTACCCCCCATAGTAGGCATTTCTTCAGTTGACAGATTGCTTGTGTACAGTGTGCATAACCAAGGTGCCGCACACATGACATGTCACAGGAAGTGCACTCTTTGCAGATGGTTAAGAAACAGTAGGCTTGCTGACTACACATTTAGCATTTAAAGCTTGGGTTCATTTCAGCAGCCTGGAGGTTGTGACAGGTCCTTGCAGTTTGGACAAGGCACTGATTCAGGTTTTTGTGCTGTGTGTATGAGTCAGTGTTGTTTAGCTGGCTAATTAAACGGGCCTGCATGCCCTTTAGGAACTCACGCTTCATGTGCTGCTGTGATCGTGTTCTAGGAGATACAGTATGTTTCAGTGGCATCCACAAGTCTTGGGATGATTCTTGGGCTCGTCACGGTTGCTGGTGTCGTCGTTTTCAGTCTGTTGGAAGTCTCGGTGTGTGCGCTAACCTAGGTAGCAGCACTGGGCCGACTAGAGGAGCCCTCCAGCAGTCACAGTGCCTGCCTGCACAGGCCTGACAGGCAGCCTCTGCCGCAGTTACACCTCAGCATGGCCATCACTGCCACTGCCAGCCTCTCACGTGCTTCCCCAAATTGGCCCCAACTTGTGCCAAAAAATAAAGATGTCATGATTCCAAATACTAATTTGGTCAGACCCTACTTGAGAAGCAGGTTATATTCTAGAGACTGGTCTGCAGATCCCTGTTACTGGGAACTTGTTTGTTCACTGAACAACTTGGTGGTTCAGTTCCCACGCCCTTCCTGAGACAGTTCCTTATTCCCTGTCTCCAGGGGCTGCAGAATTGGATAGGTTGTTTATGCTGAGCTGAGGACCATCTTAAACTTTTAAAACATGTTCATCTGGCTGCCTTCTCAGAGATGGAGCGAAGGGCTTGGACCCCTGTAACTGTGTGTATACGATTTTTCTATGCTCCTAAGGGCTGGACACCTGTACCTGTGTGCATACGATTTTTCTATGCTCCTAAGGGCTGGACACCTGTACCTGTGTGCATACGATTTTTCTATGCTCCTAAGGGCTGGACACCTGTACCTGTGTGCATACAATTTTTCTATGCTCCTAAGGGCAGCCATGTCCTAAGTCAGCTGGCTGCCAGGTCATGATCTTGGGAACAGAGCAGAGTTCAAAAGATTCCTCTGCTGCGTGGGCCCGGTGGGAGTGGTTGGGAACTTCGGGGCTCCTGGATCAGCTTTTCAGATGGAAGCTCTGGCTTCTGTGCCCACATGTTGTCACTGGGCAGTGCCTGGAAGCCACCAGAGTACAGCCTGGGACTGCTGTTCTTAGAGGGGCAGGGAGTCATTCTTCGCTCTGGATTTCCTCTGGTTCCTTGCGGGCCTCTGGATGATCTCCGCTTGTGCCTCCACACCTTGAGGCCTGTCTGTCGGGTGGAGAGGGCACCTTTGTAGGTGTCCCTCGCTGTGTTACATTAGAGTGGAGCAGTGGTGGTAGATGCTCCATTGACCCGTGCTTAAGAAGGGCTGGCATCCCCCCAGGCCTGGTGATGGCTGCCGCAGACACAGCCTCCAGTCTCACCCCAGGGCCGCACGCCCTTTGAAGCCCTTTGCACCAGATGTGGGGGTGGAGAGAGATTTCTAGAGCAGAGGGGAGGTCTCTGGTGCTGAGCTTGTCTCTCTCAGGTGGTGTGACCGACCACGTCTATAATGGAACAGCTGGGGTCTGGGCTGACCTCATGTCCATAAGAATCTTTAGGTGTGGAGGGCCTTAAGTTTGGTAGGTGTGTATGACCAAGCTCTCTGGCTATGTGCAGGACACTCTTCTATTTACAGCTGAGCAGAATGATCACAATAGCCGCTCTGGAGAATGAGTGGAATTTTACTGACTTGTTCCCTAAATGTGTCTGCAGCTTACTTACTCTGAGCATGCTGGCGCCCTCTCTGGAGGAGGTTGAGTCTCCCCTGTAGTTTTCCTATTCGTTAACATTTCTGGGTTCTTATGTTTTCCTGCCAGCATGAGTCAAGGCCGGTGTCCTGGCCCCAGTTCTGTGTGTAGGTGCTCTCTGCAGCTT